CACCCGGACAGTGGGTGGGCACCTTGCAGATTTTACATAATAACATGTTCTCCTTGTAGCCTGTTCCTCCATACTCACTCCCTCAAGCAGACGAACTCCTACTTTGATTGGTATGTGCACCAGGAGAGCGCTTCTGTGATTTAATAAGGTTATTAAAATAAGGTCATCTGTGGTTTCACACACGAATACAGCAAACCCAGGGTGGGCACAAGGAGATTTACAGTGGCTAGCCTGGAACATAATACAATAATTAATAAATAATAATACAAGAATGAACTCTGTTAGGGGTACTCGCAACTATAAACCTCCTTGTGCCCCACCCTGTCTATTTTAATAGGCAGAGGTTTCATTTTTCCAATTGCCCCTTTAAAGGGAAATAGTCACACTCAATGATTGTGCTGACACCTAAAGTGGACACCTCTACGATTTGAAAATGGAACAGCAAGTGGAAATCGGTGCAAGGCAAAGGACCCAGGCAGCGCCCCGCCTGACACTGACCGGGTCATGAGGCTCGCCCCTCCCTGATCTGGTAACTGCCATGGAGCAGCCAAACGCAGAGTCAATCTGCGAAAACCTAATCCTCCAGAAGGCAGATTAAGCGTATAAGTGACCTATATAATCCACGTATCATCTCCAGGCAAACGTCCGGGCCTGTGCAGGAGCCAGTGCGGTGCGCGCTACCCAGCGAGGACCCCATCCAAGTGCGGATGGCTTTTAATCACTCATCTCCGAGCCTGGGAGGGTTAAGCAGATGAATTCGCCCTAAGCATTACAATCTCTTTTAATCCTGATTTTCTTCTCAGCCTGTGTCTTCAAGAAGTACAAGGAGGAAAGAAAAGAAATTAATTTTTGTTTAGACCTTGAAATCTTAGGTGCTTCTCTTGATGATCTGATCTCTAATTTCAAGAAGCATGTTTCCGTTTTGGGGAAGATGTGGAATTAATCACCAGAGAAGGGGGAGAGCCATCTGCATGATTTATGGACACTCGAGCTTTTGACTTATTTCTTGGGCTGTGCGATCCTTCTCATTTGCTGCTGTAGGAAGATGGAGATGATTTCATATCCATGTTTTATATTTTCTTTAAAAGTCAGCAATAATTTTCAAGGAGGCCAGGCTTCCCCTTGAGTCTGACAGCAATCTGATTCTCTTTTAAAAATTCAGTATCTTTAATAAAATTTAAACTCATTGTTATTGTACATATTCTCTTGCCTTTGTTTCAAAATTCTGTAAACTGTTACTTTGCAGTAACCGAAACCAGTTTACAATTGCATGTCATTTTTTAGAAAAAAAAAAAAAAGACAAAAGGCAGATAAAAATGTACAGCTGCATATCTGAAATACTATGCAAAGCTGTCTGAGGGCTCTTTTCCAATCAGCACTTAATTTTGGACAGTTAGGGGCATTACCAAAAAAGTTGAAGGTATTTTATAGGCCTCTGTAAATCAATTATATCAACACACAGGCAATCTTTCACTGCATCAAAAAGACCTGGCTAGGCAACGTTATGTCGGGATATATTTCTCCAATAAATCTAGAGAATGCCTGCTTTAAAAAAAAAAACAAAAACCGGTGAAGATGAATTTAGAAAGCTGTTCTTACGTTACATAATAAAGTAGATAAAAATGCAGAACATCAAATATAGAGCCCCAAATGCTATGCCGATAATCCCCCACAAGGACCCAGTTCCAGCCAAAAGTACATGACGAGGCAGAGAGAAAACCAGCTCCGAGAGAGAGCACTGAAATGAAGGCCTGGCTGACACGGAAGAGGCACGCATTCAACGACCAGCTATTGGTCCAAATATGAATCCACATCAATGCCACCCAGCCTTCCCCACAAGGCACTCTCAAAACACCAAAGAGGGGGCTCATGCTAAATAGCAAGAACGTAAAGGACTTAGCAGGTAAATAAAACCAAGACTTAGAAACACAGCTAAAAACACAACAGGATCCCTGAGAACGCGCCTGGGAATGACAGATGCCAGCAGGAACTAACCACCAGAGAATGCCACAACAGTCAGAACCAACAGCCCCCAAACAGCAAACAATCCCAGAGATATATAGGTCCCCCTCCCCCCATTCAAAATGCTAATTGTCTATTATTCATTTTTGCCATTTGTCAAAAGGCACCAATTTGGAAGAGAAACCTCTCAGATCCACGTTTTTCTCAATAGGTCTCTGCCAATTGTTTAGAAACCTGCCCCAGGACCCCCAGGGGAAGCTGCTGCAGGAATTTAGGGTGACAGGTTTCACAGGCCCTGCCTTCCCCTTCCTGTCCCCTGGTCAGCTCGGTGGACACTAGGGCCCTGCAGCACAGATATGCAAAGAAACAAACACCATGCTTGAGGAAACAGAAGCCGAAAATAATCAAACATGTTGGTAATCTGATGTTTTGCTGCTAGATTATAGAAAAACAGTAAGTCCTGAATTAAATTACCGACATGGCATGGTAATGAAGCTTCTTGAGCAACTTGGGTTTTTTAAACGACAAATGTTTCAAATCCACGACAGAGTCAGTAACTTTTCTGCGCTTCCTCCGTGAGGCTGCCTGGTCCCAACGGTCTGGGAGTTCGGGGAGCAGGTTATTTGAAAAGTAAGGAAGTCAACGGCAAAGAGATTTCTCTCGAAAGAAGCTGCTGATGCTCAGGGAATGACTGTGATGGTGGAGTCTGGAAAATGCGATCCTCAGGGGGCTGGAACTAAGACACCCTCAGGAAAACAGAAGCGGCACAACCCAAGACTAAATTGTGGGGGTTCTCGCCACGTTGCTGAGGCCATTTCACGCTGGTCAGCGTGGAATTCACCAAGGGGCCGGAACATTTGTGAATTTTCACATTGTCTTAAACATAATTTGCTTTCTGAAAAACATATTCATTTTTGTTTTTCATTATTCCATTTTCTTTTCAGTATTCATTCACACGAAAGGCCCGGGGGCTTGAGTTTGCCTGCGTTCTTCAGTAGTCGGACGAGTCTGCTTTTGCCATCTGTGCGAGCTAAGCCCGGTCTCTTACTTTTCAAATAATTCAGCTGCACTTTCCCTTGAAAGAGGTCACAGAAGAGGACAACCTGCCCGGCTGCCTTTGAGAGGGCGGCCTTAAAAAACGTCCCCTGGCCCTTCTCATTAAACAGGCAGAGAGGGCAGCGCGGGGCATCTGCTAATGGAGCAGCAGGCGGAACTGCAGATGAAACATCAGATTCAGCGCCAGCTGTTGTAAAGTTTGCGAGAGCATGAGGTTATTCGCATACACGCTCACACAGGAACACGCACGCACGCACACGCACGCAAAGGCCACACAAAAGTGAGAATCAGAAGATACTGATCAAAGGGGGTAAGGCAACCTAGGCATTGAAAAGAACAATCCACAGGCTACTGGGAGATGGGTGGCTTGGAATTTAATTCAGTGGAGATGGGCAGTGCGTCCACACGCCTAACCGCAGACCCGAGGGTGCTGCCGGCCTGTTTTCAATGCCTATGGGGTGGGGGACCGTCCCCCCGGGCATTCCGGGCTCGGGCCTGTCATGGAGGCAGCATGCAGGCAGGGGGAGGGCCCGCCGAGAGCTCAGTGCAGGCAGGAGGCATTCTCAGTGGGCGCGGGTCATGCTAGAAGATGTACACAGGAAGATTATTTGATTCTGATTCATGCCACTTGGTATAATGTGATAAAACATTTGACATGAGAGATAAGTTCCATTTTAACCCGAGAGGGGACGGGTGGGAATTAAAAGTAAGAAGGGTTTCTCGGAGAAAGGAGATGCGGAGGAAGGAGCGATATTGAGCACAGAAAGCGGATGATGGGGAAAGAAAGAAAGAAAGGGGCCTTTTCAACACACGAGGAAAGCAAATGAGCTGGAAGACAAGGCAGATAAAAAAGTCAGGAGCTGCAATTCCCGCAGCGGTGCCAACAATGAGCTCACTGAGCTGCGGAACAAAAACACACACACAAACGCAATGAAAACGGAACACAATCACAGGGAAATATAGAAACACGGATCCCATTGTAGACCAAAACATTAATGTTCGGGCTGGCACCGAAAACACGGGAACCTGGACAGGAGGAGCTCACGCTGCACGAGACAGAAGTAGGCGGCACGGTTAGAGCCACACGAGACAAGGGCGTCCGCGTCCCTGCACTCTGGCCGGGGCTACACTGGCAAATGCAGTGGAAACTCGGAGCAAAATATCTGGCTAGATCAGACAGCCCGGCTGCTTTGGCCTGAAAGAGGTGGGCGATTGGAGACCAAAGCGGATTCCTTTTTCCTTTCGGCTCAGTGGCTTGCTTTGGGAGTGCAGACACAGCGCCGGTGGGAGTGAGAGCGCGAGGCCCCTGTGAGCCGTCGGAAATCTGTGTGGCCAAAGCTCGGTCTGGGTCGGCAGCCTGATGTGGGTGCTCTTTGTGCATTTGCTCTTTGTCCCAAATTTTCAAGTGGGAGGGTGGGCAGGGGGCACCTTGGCTTAGAGCGGCAAATGACCGAGCAGCTCTAACATAAGCGTTTGCCAAAACCCAGGGCTAAGTAAGGATCTCTGGTCTCCCAGAAACGAATCCTTTTTGAAGCGGTAACAATGCCACAGTTAGGCACATCTGCACGCCACAGCGGGTGTCCTGGAGGGTCCGCCCCCAGGAGGGGAGCTGGCTCCTCCCTCCCACGAGAATATTCCCTAAAGCAAGGCCAGATTGCAAGGAGGAGAGCCATGACCAGGAAAGGTCTTTGCCAGTTAGGGAAAGCTGCCCCCAAGCGTCCTGCAGGACCGAGCCTGCTGGCCGAGAGGCTGTGCGCTGTCCTGCGTGCCACACAGATGGGGGCTGAGACGCGCCACACCAGGGTGGGCTCGGAACAGACACACGACAGATAGGAGCCTAAGGCAGAGGGAGAGGAAAAGATTTTGTTTGAGTCGGGACCAACCCATGTTCTCAAAATGTGACTTATCCTCCTGTCTCTTATTTTGTCACATTTTGGAGGGTCTCCTCCTTGGTCTGCAAGGAGGAGAAGGCATTTACTTACATCAAATAACCTTTCTATGTACATCTCCTCATTGACCTTATCACGAAGGACATCCTGAGAGTGGCGGACGAAAGTCACGTAGGCATCGGCCACGTCCATCCCGGGTTTCTGCAAAGAAACAGGAGAACATGAAAATGGAATTCACCCCTGCATTTTCCTCTCTCCTCCCCTCTCCCTCTTGCGGGAGTTCCAAGCTCTCCATGGTGTATGTCACAGCTGTTCACGGCCCGGACTGGTCAGATGGGTATTTGAGCCTTCTGCACTTTCTGGAAAGCACACCTGGCTAAGAAGGGAGTCGGGATTACAGGGTTTTATACATATTTTTCTACTATTAATTTTTTTTTCCTGGCAAAGATACTCTAATGAATAAATATTCACTGGGTAACCCAGAGACATTACCTGGCTTTTTTGGGGGTGGGGTGGGGGGGGAGAATTGAACCTTCTTCCCCTTTAAAAAATACCCACATATACTCTTTATTGTAACATCAGAAAGGTGACAGCCTTCCTGCCCCCTTTCCTTTTAAAAACATTAAGAAAGTGCTAAGTAAAGAAATCAGAGTTCAATCTATACCCCTTCCACCCACCCAAGTCACATTTGGGGGGTAATTTAACCGGAGTATGTAGTATTTCCTCATCAGTTTACTCAGGAGACATTCAACCATTTGTCTTTGCTCCTGGGTGCAGCTTATAGTCCAAGGATTAAAAAAAAAAAAAAGGGCAGGGGCAAAGGAATTGATTTTTAAATAAATTAGATTTTCTGGAAAGGTAAGCAGGTGGTTCATACAGTACAGTATAAGAAATGATTTATTGTAAGAAAAAAAAAGAAACTCAGAATGCACACTGCTTGACATGTCGTAAACAAAGTTATCTCCAAAGAAACCTATTAAAACACTGTAATATGGGTCATTAGGAAAGCTGCCACAAACCCCTTAAATTTCCACAGCAGATATGTATGTTTGCTAATAACTGAAAAGATGAGCTTTCATTACTGTGATTTACCTTAGATCACGAAGTATCATGTCCCTACAAGACGGGACTGTCAAGCACTGCAAATTGAAGTTAGTTAACACTTCTGTGTAATTTCCAGGGTGAAAATGAGGAAGGTTTGGAAACAGTAGGACTGTATTTTTTTTCAAACACAAAGCAAACAATTATCAAGCAAAGGGCCAATGCTTGGCCCCTGGGATGCGAGTAACATTTCTTAACACCTGCTGAAACAATGACAAGGTATTAATTTGAAAAACAATGAAGACAACCCAAAGCCACAGCAGTCAACTGTTACACTTTCAAGCAATTTTCATGGGATGGATTGAGCAGGTTCTGTGACGGGCCTATAATTGGGGCAGTTTCATGATAGCAAACAATAGAGGTCTCCAATGGGATGGAAGTGATAGCTCCCCGTTCTCAAGGCACCTCTCCCCTCCTCTCCCTGTGGCAGTACCAAAAGGCATCTCCGTGGGGATAGGGACCCCTACCTGGGGGATCTGAGAAACTTATTATTACTGTTTCCATTCTTTTCCTGGTGCTGCTAGTGGCAGACATGGCCTTTTCCAGGACACATGCAGCCACAGTAGAGCTAAGACCCAAAGCCACAGCCTGCAGACAGATCAGTGACCCTCAGTGATAGAAACAGCGATCCACAGTAATTGGTATTTTCACCACATTTTGTTATCCTCAAAGGGGCATTTAAGTTTTAAAAAGTTTGATTAAAAAACCCCACACAGGATGATTCATCTCCCCAGGTAGTTAAGAAATTCCATAATTCTCTATTTCTCGACTGTGTTTAATTGTCCTTCATAGCACTTGCCAATATCCGACATTGTACTATGTATTTAGTTACTGTCTTTTGCCTGTCTTGGACAACTAGAACCTAAAATCCACGACTACAGGGACTTTATTTGCTCTATTTTCTACTGTATCCTCAGCACATAGTTGGATGCCTGGCACACAGTAGGTGCTTGGCACACAGTAGGTGCTTTGCAGTTTGAGACAGAATGAACAAATCCATGAATAAATAAGTCCCTCCCACCTCCTTTCCAAAGCTCTCAGTCTCTCTACAGCAGGTCCTCCACTAACGTTGTTTCCTTCCAAGTCTTTCTCTTATAATGGTGACAAGATGACCCAGGAACTTGACTCTTGTGGATGGCCATTAGCCATGCTAAAATCGGTTTTGTAAGTTGTCATTTTACTTAAAGTCAGTTTCCAAGAACCTATTGATGACGTTAAGTGGGGGCTTTTTATTGGACCCCCCACAAATGGAAACTTGTGAAAATCATTTAAATTTCTCCGGGCCTTAGTTATACCATCTGTAAAACGGGATTGAAACTCCCTACTTATCTTAAACATTATCATGATTATCAGCTAAAATAAAGTATGTTCAAGTGCTTTAAAAGCCATATATAACTATATAAATATCGAGCCCCCGAATGTTAAATTATTTCACAGCCTTATCTACCTTTATAATCTACTTTGGAACCAAGAAGAAGAAAAAAAGGGCCTCAGAGAAACCACCATCAAAATAAAAATGACAAAATCTCTGCAGGAAAATGTGTAGTTTTCTTTTAGTAGAGTCCTCAGGCCCCCACTCACAACCATCTTCCTTTCTAACCAGCTTTCCATCCAATTCCCAGGAGCTTGCTTTCCATTCCATTGGTGGCCAGCAAGGGGCGAGTTGGTAATAGAGAACTACTGCTTTCCCTGTGCCCTGTAGGGGGAAAAGGCTGCCAAAGGGTAGCTCCACACATGTAGGGTCACCACCAGCTGTGGTCTGGGAGAGGCAAGCTACCCTACCCCTCAGGGGCCCTGGGAGTCACAGTCACGGTGGTGATCCCCTCTCATGGAGGAAGCGTTGAAGTATGGCCAGTTCCCTATTTAAAACGGCAGGGGTGGACGCGTAATGCATTTTAAGTAGATTTCCAACCAAATGGTTAAAATAAAAACTGTTTACACACAAACAAGCTAACTTGTAATTATAGATGGAAATTTCTCTTGGCTAAACAACCGATGCTATTAGAGAAATTAGGCTTGATACCACATTGCTATCTACAAACAGTGGGGAAAACGGTGGGCAATGGTTTTAATACCCCACAATTACAGTGCTTATTTTAAACGTGGCTTGGACATGAAATAAACAACAAATACATTCGTCTCTGTGTAGTTAACTCCATCCACGTGTGGAAGATATCATTGCGAAGGATCCACTCTGTGGCTTAGAAAAAATAAGGCATTTAAGTCAGAATTTATTCCTACCAGGATACTTCTGAGTTTGAGAAAACAAATTCAGATTTTTCAGGACCCTTAGCGAGCCCTAGTTGGGAATGCAAACCTGCTACGTATACCATGTTCGAATATTTCGTCTAAGACAAAGAGATGCTTTGGGATTTATGCCACGTTTTCAATGACTGGCAATAACGCTTCTCTCCATTAATGTGGATAATTAAGAGACAGGTCTCTAAGGTAACTAACTACTAATTCCCACATAGAACTAAACCAGCGAACCACGTGCCAACCTCACAGAGCAACACAAATGAACTCAGTCCTTAGAGCCAGAAACAACTTGAAAGATGATTTGATCCAATAGTTCTTAAGCTGGCTACAGATGATAAGGACCTGGGAGTTTTAAAAACACCGATGCCTGGACCCCCACACCCCAGAGATGGTTTTAATTCGGCAAGCGACCTGGCACTAATGGGTGTAAAAAGCTCCCCAGGTGTTACCAACACGTAGGCAAGGCGGCGAATCACTGATGGAGCCCATTGGTTCCCAGACTCGGGCCTGCCTATCAGAATCACGTGGAGAGCTTGAGAAAGAGACTTGCAGGCTCCATCCCAGAACCACTGAGTCAGCATCTCTGGAGACGAGGGGCTAGAAATCTCTATTAGAAAACAAAACAAGACAAGACCAAAATCCTTGCCAAGTATTACTGCTGCACATTCTGGTTTGGGGACCACCAATTCAATAGGCGATGGCCGCTGGTGTACTGGCAAACTGGCTCTTTAAAACAGCAAAACCAAACAACACAAACAACCGACCTTGATTTGTAGTGCTTGCCAATTTCCATGGTGTAAATACGCTCCCTATGGCCCAGTTGGTGCTGCTAATGTGCCCTCATCGAAGACAGAGTTGGAAAGAAACGCACACAATAGGCTCATTCATGGGAGCCAGGCCAGCAGGCTCCCTACACTTAGTCAAAGGGCGAGCACCTGACCATTCATGCTCCTGCCTCCTGGCCGGGAGGCCCTGGGCATGCAACTAACCTCCTTCCTCTCCTCAGCTGTGGAACAGGATGAAAACATCACCCCTCAGAGGGTGGTTTTGAGAAGTAAATGATTACTGTTATTCACTACATGTAAACAATGGACACATAGAATATGTCTTCTATACACCATTATTTTCTCTAAAATTGTTTATCAAAACATTACTTATACTATTATTGCTATATAATTATTGGAATACTATTGTTACTATATTATGATAATTTACACTATCACTATAATAGTATTTGCTATAAAGCACACTTTAATCAACTTAATTTTAAAGTTTATCTTTTTTTTCTAAGCCATAATAATTGGTAAAATCATGATTTTTAGTTTTTCCAATACTGAAGTACAGTAATTACTCAATTAACCAAATAAAGATGTCCATCTGCCCACTCACTGACACCAGCTGGCAGGTGCACAGTGTTGAGAGCACTGCTTGAAATTTCAGCTCCCCCACTTAGCAGCTGTGGGACCCTAAGGAAGGGAACCTCTCTGGGCCTCAGTTTCCTCATCTTTAAAGTGGGGTTGTTATCAAGATTAAAAGGAAAGTGCTTTGAAGGTGCCCAGCGCAGAGTGGGTGCTTTAAAAGGTTTGGCTGCAGTTGTCATCCTCACTGGTAAGTGTGCCGCATTTGGGGACATGCTGCTTCATTTGCTAATGCCTCCCCAGGGGGCGGAGACTCGGCGAATTCTTTTTGTTCCCCCAGAGCCCAGCGAGGCTTCTGCTGCAGCATAACCCAGCCCTGCACACGGGATGACTACAGAGCAGGGCACTTTTGCTGTGCATTTCCCCTCAACTTTACCGTCAGTCTGACCCACAGGAAATCGCCAGTTTTTGACTTTTCTGACCTCCCCCAAACGTCAATTTGAGTTGCCCGACCAGATTTCTCTGTGTATTTGGGCTTTGCCTACTCCTCACCTGTTGTACCCTCGTTGGTGTGACCTTCCCTCTTCTTTGAGGCCGACAGAAAACAAACCTCAGCCACCAGATCTTTGAGTTACACGCCGAGAATTCCAGTTTCTATTACTGTTGAAGACCATGGCAGGCCAGAGCGAATCCAGCCCCCACTCCCACCCTCCCGCACTGGATTGTGGGCCGCACACGCCCACCCCTACCACGTGCTCTGCTCCTGCAGCTGAAATGTCTGATGAGGGCCAGGCCTGGCGCCCAGGGTTCCACACACGTGTGCCATTTAAGCTGCACAGCAGACCCGTGTCGAGTACTACTATCCCTATTTTAAGGATGGAGAAACAGGCCCAGAGAATGTGAGTTGTTTGCTCCCTGCGAACTGAAAGTTGATAGTTTGGGGCTAGGGAAAATAAATTGCTTAGCGTTTCTCTCCCTCATTGTAAGGATTATCTCTGTGAAGGAGCCTGAGGTCCCTTGATGAGAAATATTATATAAATTCAAAGCACAATTATTGATTGTACATTCTTTCATTAAACAAACAATATATGCTAATGCCAAATTCACTCCAATTTTCCATTTTGCCTTCCTGTGAGGAATAAGCCAATAAACCATTACACACTCAACTTCCTGGGGAAATGAATTTAAATGTTAATATAAATCCCTTTAGAGAAACACAAATTGTAACAAAGAAGTATTTGAACAAGGAGGGCACTTAACCACGTTCAGAATGAGAAACATTCAGTCCGAGACCCTTGGTGGCTGTTGAGATAAGCTCTCTAAATTTAATATTTTATAAGAGACTCCCACCTCTTTTGTTAGAAACGGAGATGCAGAATCACTTGCCTTCCCCTTCATTGGCATATGCTGAAATCGCTGCAATTTTATTTTGCTAATAGGCAGGGCAGAGTCCGCCTACAAACGTGTCCTGTTCATCACAGGTAATCCCACGCTCTCGCCTCCATGTGCGTACTTAACCTCAATTTAAATGTAAATCCTGGGCACCTTCGAGTGCTTCGGCTGTGAACTTGGAGAGCTCTCTTCATTAACGAGGTCTGCACTAATCACACACAGTTTGGGAAGGCTTCCTTAAAACAATTGTAGCGTTGACCCCAAAATGAACAAATTCAGAATTTATTTGTTTTTAAAACATACCGGCACCCTGTGCACGTTTCTAGGTCATGACTCTACTTCCAAGGGGCGCGTGCAGCGGGGAGGTGAGTGGCCACAGACTGAAATATGTCAGAGAAACTAATGAAAATAAAAACGAGAGCAAACTGGGGTTACCCTCAAACAGGACCCGTCTCCCTGATGAAAGAAGCCGTGCCCTCTTCTCATCTGATACAGTTTTACCAGGACATGTTCGTGGCCTCCCCCCTCTGGCGATTCAGTTCAGGAAGATACACAATTTAGCAGCGACTAATGAAAACAGCACCATCAAACTTCTCATAAAAGCAAAGCAAAACAAGACAAAACCCCGCAAGTAAACAAACAAACAAAAAACCCACCAAACCCACAAAGGCAATTTGCATATACTCACAGGTACATCCACATACTTGGAAGCTGCCTTCACCTAAGAAGGAAAGAAGAGGATGGGAGTGAGGATGGTGTTTATGTTTAATTGTTCACAGCTCAATGCTGAATCCCCATCAGAGTTACAACAATACGCTGGCACCTGGAGCTGGCCAGGAAACATGGGAAGGTACGAAAAAATAAAATCTGTTTGCTATTTTCCCCCAAGCCATAGCTATTTATTGCTTGAGAGAGAGAAAGTGTGTGTGTGTGTGTGTGTGTGCAGTTTGAGACAGAGAGAGAAGGAGGAAAAGAAGGGGGGAGAAGGAGGGGGAGGAGGAGGAGGGGAGGGAAGGAGAAAGGAAGGAAGGAAGGAAGGAAGGAAGGCAGAAGGAGAGAAAGAGAGTGAAGTTTCCTGAGATTCTGTAGCTGGTGTGGGAGCTTTGCATTTTCCTCCCTTCCTTTAAAAGGGAGAAAAACGACTGTAGCTAAACCCCAGCTGATAAGTGGAGGGCTCCCCAGTCTAGAAAAGCACCTAAGGCCGGTGTCAGTCTTTGGCTTTGTGTAATTTGGCTGCAGGTTTGTCTGAATTGAACCCTTCCGTTCTCAGCTTCAATGAACTCTCCTCAAGAAGAGGGATGTGGTGGGTGGGCGTCCTTAGCCCAGAGGGAAGTGGGTGTCTGTGGGTGGGTGTTAGAAGGGGTACCAAGCCTTCCAAAACTGTCCCAAGGGTACTGTTGTGTCTCTTGGATTTAAATACTAGAAAACCCAGAAGGAAGTGCAGGAAGTGGCTATGAAATTTATTTTCAGTGTTTGGAGAGGTAGTCTGGCAGGGTAGAGTGAGAGCATGGTGTTCGGAGTCAGAGCAGGTTCAAATTCTGCCTTTTCAACTTACTAGCTGTGTGACCTTGGGCAAGTTACTTCATCTCTCTGAGGCTTAGTTGCATCATTGCGAAATGGAGATCTTACTAGAGCCTGCTTCAGCTGCCGCCGTAAGTGTGAATACACACAAAGTCCTGGGACATAGTAAGCATGCAACATATAGTAGCTAAGATGTGAAATTCCTAAGCAAACCAGAGTCAATCAACAGTGGGGTTTGAGGAATAACATCTATGGGAGTCCAGCTGACATTCTATGTGCCTCATTCTGACTTGCATTTGGTCACACATGCTCCTCTACGCACAGGTAAGACTAAGGGGCTGTATTTGGGGTCAGCGAGGGTTTCCAGTGTTATGGGCGACCACAAAGGCTGCGGTGCACACACAGCAGTTAGGGTGTCTTTCCCCCTCTCGGGTAGGCTTCCCCTTGACATTGGGCTGTGATCCATATCGGAAATCACAACCTCCACCCACATCAAAGTACCCGGGGGAGGATACCTGCCCTTTTCGCAGAGATACTTTGAAAAACGTCACCTCCCAGGGGTGAGACGCCAATGAGCCAACGTGTGTGGTGGAAGGAGCCTAGGGTTTAGGGTCAGAAGTTCCATAAGTGACAGGACCAGCTGGCCCTGGGATAATCACTTCTATGCCTTAGTCTTGGTTCCTAGATTTCTACAACAGGATGCTAATACTGTGCACTTTGTAGGGTTGAGAGCCTGATCAGGTGAAAAAAATATTAGAAAGTGCTTCGTAAACATTAAAGGGCTGAGCACACATCGGTTCATCAATGAGAGAGGGAAGCATCCCATCTTCTGGAGCCACGCCAGCACCCAAGACGATCCGCAGGCCCCCGTCTAACCAATTCTCCCGGACCCCACACTTTTCCTTTGCCGTCCTGATGACCACGCAGGCCAGGCACTTTGTGCCATGTCTGTCTCTCATAGATTGGCACATCTCGCTCATGCCTATCTTCCCAGCGACTCGCTTGGAACCTGTCTTAGAAAGGGCACCTGGGGAAAGCTTGTAGCAGGAAGGAAGGAGAGAAGGCTAGTGAGCAGCCTGGCTTCAGGATGGTTGAGGAACAGCAGAGGAATGACCTGATCGAGAAGGCACTGAAAGCCGACATCTATCTATATAAATATGGCTAATGTGCTACGTGTCTGACTGTTTGACTGGTCGCTATGACGTGCATTGACCACCAGGGGGCAGACACTCAAACTCAGGAGCTGCCGTGACATGCACTGGCCATTTACAGAGAAATGGCACTGCAGACCTAGTGCTGACAAAGCAACACTTGGCTTACCCCAAGTGGGACACAGGCCCCACCACCACCCAGGAACGACACCCCACCGAATCGCAGCTGAGACACCCCACCGAATCGCAGCCATGGCATAAAATGTGGACCACAGCCCACCCCACCCTGGAAACGGTGGCTGTGGGTGCCGGGTAATGACATCACATAGCAACGCCTGGCTTCCTCTTCCTAGCAACTAGCCTCCTTGGAGTTTCAGCAGCCTGGGAACAGGACTTGCTTTATAGCCAGGTGGAAACATTTTACACTTTAACCAAATGTCTGTGAAGCATATTCCCATGCCTCGTTTCATTTAATCCTTACAGAAGTCCTGGAGTAGGTAGATAGGAGCCTAGGTGGAAACATGAGAAAGCAGGTCTAATTAAGCAAGTTTATTCTATACCTATAAAAAGTTAAGTTGACTCGCGCATGCACAAAACATATAAAACTCTTACTGGTGCCAATCACATGCGTGTGTTTTGATCTGTCATGTCGATCATGAATTTGGTTGACACTTCTATTATAGAGAAAGGGCAAATAGTGATATTAAAATATTTCTTCTAATTAATTTTCTTTCAATGTGCACGAATGTGTGCACCGGGACACTAGTGTTTCTATATAAAGCTGGCCGTCTGCAAAGCTGGTGGGAGAAGCAAACTGCTCTGGACCATTAAAAGCTTTGAGGGACGCATTCCCGATTTTGCACAAATAATACTTACATTAAATTATTCAAACCCCAAATCATTCCTCTCCATTCCTGTTCCAGATTTTAGTTTGGGCAAAACGGTAGCTTTCCTTTCTTCCAAGTCTCCCCCATTTAAAATAACATCTAACACTTTTAGGATGTTTTCCACTTTGCAAAGAACTTTTATGTGCAGATACTTTTTAAAAAATTATTTTGTTGTTAATCCTCACCCAAGGATACTCTTTCCATTGATTTTTAGAGAGAGTAGAAGGGAGTGAGGAGGATTAGAGAGAGAGAAATATCTGTGAGAGAGACACATTGATTGGTTGCCTCCTACACACGCCCTGACCTGGGCCAGAGATTGAGCCTGCAACCAAGGTACACGCTCTTGACAGGAATCAAACCCGAGACCCTTCAGTCTGCAGGCTGACACTGTAACCACTGAGAAAACTGGCTAGGGCTGTACAGTTTCTTCTTTAAGCCACCCTGTAAAGTGGGGGCTGTGAATCATATCTATTTATGACTGAGAACACAAAAAACCCATAGAACTTAAGAATTTATTGCTAATGACCTCAGCCAGGAGGTGGAGAAGCCAGGAGCCCTGAGCCCCAATCTTTCCTTTGGAACTTCTGATCTCCTCACCAATGACAGAATCGGGCAGTGAATTCAAGCATCAGTGGTCAGAGCAGGTGCTGGAAAATGATGGCTCAGTGGGAAATGGCCTCCTTTGCCCCATAGAGTTGGTGCTTGGCAGTTGGTAGGAGTTTTGCTGCAGCTGAAATGATCAACCTTTAAACACGCCTACTCTCCATTGACCACTAACATGCCGTTCCAATCCGGAGAATGACACCAGTCAGAACCTGCTTCTTCCCAGGCAGCTCGGGAAGACGGAGCAAGCTCTGTGCAACGAACGGAAGCCATCCGCTCAGCTACCGGCACCGCCTTCAGGTCCAGATGCTTGCTTTTTTTCTCTGATAACAGCTGACTTGCACGGGGTCTTACCGATCTTCCTCCAGTCCCATAACAACAGGAAAAACTGGCTCAGAGTAAACTGTGGTCCTGTTATTGTTAGAAACATGTGGTGGGCCGTTTTTGGTTCTGGTCATTGAGCTTGAAGAAGGATGTTGATAAGGGTACAGGGGAGTCTGGAAGGGTCTGTGTAAGGAAGTGCAAGCAGAGGCATTCTGCAGGAAAAGGGTAAAGGCAAAGAAAACCATAGACTTCTTGTAGTGACGCAAGGGCTGCAATGCAGGTGGAGTGTTGTCTACGGTCCTCCTAGCGCATACATCCAGATGATGAGTGAAATGACAGGGGCCCAAGAAGGTGCGGACACCTATCTCAGTCCAGCCGAGTGCGGGTCAGAAATCTGCTCTGTGGGTAGCTCCGGCTGAGGCCTGGGATGCTCTGGGTGCGAGCCCAGCCCTCCGTGAGAGGCTCCCTCCATGGCTGTGTCCTGTTCTCTCATGCTCATCTCCTTGAGCGGCAGGCAGCTGCCACCAGCTCCTTTTCACAGCAGATGTGGTGAGACGCAGCAGAGCGGGCACCGGCAGAAGCAGGGTCAGAGTTCTGGTCCCTGGAGTCCCTCCTGCCCAATGTCCACGGTGCTACCTTTACACATTATTTCTTTTAAGCAGCCCCAGGAATGTGTATTTACTAGCTGCGCTCTACACAGAGAGGAAGAGCCAGCTCCATGCCCCCTGCCCACCTCCCCCAAGCCTTTGAAATTATCGCCAAGGTTAGAAACCAATGAGCACGGATCAGATCCACAGCAGGCCTCACAATCGACACAAAACTCTCTTCCATCACATGTTGATGCTTTGATGAATAAATTATAAATGTCTTAAAAAGTACTACCTACTTTATAGAATTTTGTCACCATGTATTTTTCGCCATCCATGATTTTCAAAAGTGTGTGTGTATTTTTCTCTCTCTTTTTAAAAAACTTTAAAAGAAATCCTGCTAGTGACGTGACTAAGAGGAAGGGGCAGGATTGCTGGTCAGAACTCGGGCTTTGCCATTTCCTAGCTTGTGACTTTGGGCAAGCTGCTTCATTTCTTTGAACCTCCTTTGCAAATGGGGCCATCATAATGTGACTCAAAGGGACACTGAGAGGGCTGAATGAGGCAACCAGATAAGCGTGCAGAGCAGTGCTGGGCGCGCGGTAAAATGTACCTGTTCCTGTCCTGCTTAGGGGACATACTGGCTCA